GTGAGTTACGTAGTTTCCTCGGTCTGGCATCATACTACCGGAGATTTATCAAAGGATTTGCCGCCGTCAGTGCACCACTCCACAGGCTTACCCAAAAAGATCGGAAATTTTCGTGGACTGTAGAGTGTGATGAAGCCTTCAGTCGTCTTAAGCAAGCACTAACATCCCCACCTATTTTGGCATACCCGAACTTCTCACCTTATGCAGGAGGAATAAACTGGGAAGAAGAGCAATTCAGGGACACAGATATTGGCGAGATTTACCGCCTCCAGCTGCAGGGTAACTCCAAACCTTCTGGGCGCCTGATGGCCTCGAGATCCTCGGCAGCACGGAGTCTGTGGTCACGATGGGGGCAACTACGGATTATATCCCGAGTGCTCCACCTTGTGGATAGCCATAAAGAAAATACTTACCACCCTCGTGGATCGTTACGAAAGGAACGGTGGGACGAACACATTCCGCTATGTTTGCTGGCCTATCGAGTAGCTACACACGAGTCGATAGGTTATGCTCCGGCGTTTTCACAACTCGGTCACGACCTCCGATTACCTTCAGACGCAGACGCGCCTGTGGTTCCTGCAGACCTGGTTGTCCCTAACGAATACGCCCGATCACTCCAAGAACGCCTGTCCGCGGCACTACAAATCGCCCGTGAAAACATCGGATATGCACAGCAACACCAGTTAACTGTGTACGATGGCAAATCACGCGGACCTCTGTACGAAGTAGGCGACTTTGTGCTTCTACACCGGCCGAAACCACCACCGGGTGCGCCCACGAAATTCCATCACATGTGGCAGAGACCTTATGTTATCGTTATTAAGAGGCCAAACAACACCTGTCATTCGTGACCCTTCTTAGCCACATACGGATGTACAGTGTTTACATTGCAATCAGCTAAAGCCCTACCCTTCACCCCGTCCTGACACCCAGCCGTCTACGTCCTCGTATCCCCCACCTGTCAGCCATACTGTTGAGATCAGTACATCCGACACGAACACTCTTTCTGAGCACTGAGGACAGTGCTCATACTCGGGAGGGGCAGTGTAACGCATTTGAAACTCGACTGTATCTGCTTGCACGTCTCTCATATGACCTTATGTGTGCCTATCTCTCTCCCCCTATTGCAGGTATCACAGACGAGCCCCAGGCAGGAAAGAGTAAGCCTCTTGTACACCCCCCTGATCGACCTTGACCTGACTTTGTAACCCCGACTTCCGGTTTCGGTTTCGGTTTAATACACGTGTGTCGTTGCCACGCTCCGGTGTTCTTTTCTGTCCCACCCGACCTGTGCGCATGCGTGCTGTGTATATCGTGTGGATTCATTAATACCAGTCAGTATATCTGCACATTTTCAGAACTGAGTGTGCGGTCGCTACATCCTCTCGAACGTCGAATACCGCTGACGTCCCACGCTACAGCGTTGCTCTACTGTAATGCAAGGTCAATACACGGGATTTCGCGTTCGGATAACCTCTTCGCAATTGGGCGACGTCGTTGGAACTGTGTGCAGCGTCTCGGAGAATAAAATCGAACTTTCAAATGCTTACCTCAATGGTCAGAGCACACTGCTACCCTCAGTAACAGTAGAGTAAGCGAACGTGTGTAGTCTTCATTGTGTATATGCGCACTGATTTAATATGATATTTAATATGATAGTAGTCACATCCACTTACTAGTGTTTGGGGTATGTTTGCATCTGAAAGCAGAGGGTTGAGCGCCCTAGTTATCCCCTGCGAGTAGACGTAGGCACAACTCTCTGCTGGTCGATTGCAAGCGATCTGTTGTTCAGTTGTAGGTGGTACAATATGCTGACAACTTTGTTCCAACCCCAAACCACGCTCTTTTTTTACTGGTAAGACAATAGTCCGAATCCTGTTCTGTGTGCAATTATCACGAACGGGAGGCACTATGTGGTTCGTGGCTCGCCTGGATAACTTCATCCATAACCTCTGCAGCATGAATTTTGGGGGACCTTAAGCTTTCCCTCGTCTGAATCGCTCGAGACTGACGACTTCTCAAGCCTTCAATGTAAACGGGGGTTCCCCATAGTCAGTACGAACCTAGAATTCCTACGACAAACTCTTGAGGTACTGGAAGGTCGGTTGCTCTCACCACACGCACATTGAATGTGCAGTTCATATGTGCATCTCATGGCTCAATTATTGACCTGCAGTCGTGTTACGAACTTTGCGCTTACATGACCAATACTAGAAGTGGCTTTGAGCCACCGAATCATTCATGCCAGGTGGGTCAGGTCAGATGTCTGACGAACACGGTCCTTCTGATCCTTCAGGCTAGAGATGTACATGTTTGATGGCTTATTCTTTAAAAATATGACGTGCTGGTGCCTTCTGTCAAAGACTGCTTCTTTGCAGTGTGCAGTCTCCTCACGCGCTCGTTCGGAGTCACCTTTGCTTTTTAGGGGCCACGCAAGCGGCGCGTAACTAACTTAGCAACTGAGGGCTGGCAGATCATGGAGGACGGTCTTTTGGATTCTTCCGACGGCTCTACCGTCAAATGTCAATTCTTACCGTAACGAGATCGTCATATCCTTGCACAATCATGGAGTTCAGCTTGTGGCACGACGCTGCCAAGTTCTCTCAAACACTGGATATCAAATAGAACAGTGGTGTTGCTCGAATCTCGGAGAAATGTTCCAGCCTGTCCCGAACGTAGCTCGGCCCGATGAATCATCAGACATTTAGTGAAATTGACCGTGTTCCCTGAAAGTTAGTCCTGGTGGACAGGTAGGGATACGCAATTGAAGGCGATCAAGAATGTCTGGAATACCTGAAGGTCACTTCGGTCGCTCCGTGCTGGTAAACGTTGAAACCGCCGATGAGTGAAACGATCAGAAATGAAACTAATGCAGCCATCGCCTTGAAAGGTTGGTTGAACGTTGAAGAACAGTTTAGCTGACTCTCATCAACTCAACTCCTTAAGAACTATATGAACCCGAGTGGAACGTCGACATCAGTCCGCCAGCGAGAAGAAAATCCAGTATGCAATTCGATTGCATCTGCGCAACAAAGTACCTGATGCGGAAGGTTTGACTACTGCACTCTTCAGAGGTGACGAGTCACTTGTGGCCGATCAGACGGCTTTCCTCCTAAAATACTGGAATGAAGATGGAATATCGGCCCAAATGATAGGGACCACGAAATGAGACAAGCTAATGGTCTATGCCCCTGAAAGATATGACTGTCGCACAGCCAGTTGCGATTTTGCATCATATCTATCGCTTTCATTGCGTAGCTTTCACTTCCTGTCATCCTGGACAAACAGATTCATTTGTCTTCAGTGCACAGGTTGTGCCATCATTGACAGCAACCCGGAAATAGAACACTGGTGCTTCACTGCCGTCGACTCTCATTCCCTTATTCCTTATCCTCGCTGATTGAACATGCTGCATCTAAGACCGCTGCTTTTCAGTGCACTTATTGTGAGCTGAAAATCTTAACTGAGCTGATCACCTTCCATAAAGAGTACTCCTCGACCATTGAGCCGAGCACTTTGAGGAACAACCCTGGAGACCTCTTTTGGCCTGTTGTGCGTATCAGCTGGAACAGTTTACCCGCACACCTCGATTTTCTCGCCCCCTTCCTCTCTCTGGCTTTCTTGATCCACCAGGCTTCTCGATCCGCACAGATGCTGTTTTCAACCTGAAATACTCTCGACCAGGAGGAATGTGTCCGAGCTCCGAGGAATCTTAGTGTTACTCGAGATCCGCTGCTTAGTTCTAGTTGGTTGCGCTACTCCACAAACGCAGTACCAAGTCTCTTGCAGGATTGCGGACGGCAGCTCCTAGTAAGGGTCAACATCAGTTAGTGTATTGTCTGGAAGGGCTTCAGTGGGTGGTTTTGAAAGCTCAAGATAGCTCGATCGTTAAGGTGCTACTTACTGACCGAAAAGTCAATGGTTCGAACCCAACCTGCCCCTCTCGACTTCTGTCTAAGCTTAGGCAAGCTGACAGTTCCTCAGGTCTTGTGCTTCATTCAGGTGGCATAGCATCTAGGCGCCGAATTGGTGTTACAGCTCAACGTTTATTCACTGTTATTAGGGGGGTTCTGGCAGGCCTGTTTCAGATCAAGATCCGAGAGCTCCTCAACGATCAGGCGAGGTGCGCATATCGTGCGCGCCTCTGAAAAGTGTAACGAAAGGCAGCAGCGAACAAGCGAGTGATCAAAATCTTTATGAGTCTTCTAGGACCAGCATCATCATCGACTGTATGACATCAGTGTTCAACACCGATGCTTCACTGC